GGGAGGATGGTCGCTCGCAGGAATAGCCGTTCGCTAGCCAAGCGAGCGGACTAACGCTTCGCTATTCCGCGCGTTCTAGCAAAATAGCTTCGTGCAGACTGATCCGTTCTTCTCGCGTGCCCGGGTGCCGAGTGTAAGTCCGAAACGCGATCGTAGACCCGCCGCGCGCACGCCCCGGGTACGACGACGAGATCGCCCGCGTGGCACTCCCCGCGGTGGCCCTTTTCTTCTCCCTTTGCCTTTCGTCCCTGCGCGCCGCCACAATCGCCACCGTTGCCGCCGTCGCCGCCGCCGCCGTTGCCGTCTAACCTTCTCGTGGAATTTACGCGGCTACGCCGATGCCGCCGACGTTCGCTCGCGAATGTATCTCACGCGGAGGGCGGGGGCAGGGGGAGCACGCAGGATCCAACATCGACTGCCTCTTAATCGTCCCGAGTGACCCGATGTGTGACGCTCGGTTCGAGGTACGTTCCTTTTATTTTTTTCCGCCGGATATTCCTGTCTCTTTCTCCTTCTCTGTCTTTCTTTCGCGGCGTCTTCCGCTTTCCGTGCGAGCGTCTCTTTCCCTCTCTCTGTCTCGATGCCGCTGCGTACCGTGCGAGCTACGCTCGTTCTCCGAGAAGTGCGTCGTGCGCTGGCATAGAGTGACGTTCGCTGCTCCGTTCTGCACGGCTGGAACAGAGCGCCTCAAAAACGCGAGGTGGCATTACGCGAGGACAGCTTGTACGTAAATAATGTCGCGTTATCAGACGATCGTGTGTCGTCGTGCAGTATTCCTCTCCATCGCGCCCGCCGCCGTCGTCGGATCGAGCTAAGCGGATCTCTCTCTCGCCCGGACGAGAGCGGAATGTTTCAGCAAGCCGTATTTCGGGAGTCGGATAAACAGGGCCGTAATGCGGTAATTACGTCGTTTAGGTTAGGATTCTTGCTTGCGATATCCAACAACGGGCTTCGAGTCCGCAACTGGCTGCGATTATGGAGAACTGTTTAGATTTAACCTTGAGCGTATCATTTTTACGCTCTTCCTTCTCGTTTTGCTTCTTTGAGGTGCTCCGATCGATAGTAACAGTGAGTCGCAGCCGGGAAGAGTGTTTGGTGTGGAATTGTAAATTGTATTCGTCTTAAAATCGATGAAAACCGAACATCTGAACAGATTCCTACTTCTTATGTTTTTTTAAAGATCGATATCTTTATTTATACATTGCTAGTTTATCTTTTTTATAACATTATTCAATTATTTTTCTTGCAAAGTTGTCAATGTACAGTGTTCTATTGATTAAAATTTTAGTGACAGCGTATTTTAACAAGTTTAAAGTAAATTTGTAATAAAGATTTTTCTAAAGATAGAATATTGAAGTTTTTATATCTTTCAGTGATTTATATTTTAAGATTGTACTACAAGTGAATAACAAGATTTTACATTTTACTTTTATAAAAATTGCATTTGCTTTAACTCAATTGCCTAGATATTTCATTATTGAGAATTTATATTTCTATTAAACTTTTTATGGAGAATATTTTAATTTTATTAAGCATTTAAAACTTAAGGATGTATAAGTAGAACATTTTTATAGGACAAATGTTGTAAAATTACCTTGACATGTTTTGTATTTTCTTTTTCCAGATCTCCACTGGCATGGAGCTAGGAGCGCACTGATAGCGTTAGTTTACGAGGTATTAATTTGTTTTAATTTTTACAAATAATGACTATACTTTTTTATGACATTTTATTTACTCTAGTTTGAATAGTAACCTCAAGTTTTTTAGCTTGTTATTTTATAAAATAACCATAAATATATATAGTAGAAATATTATTTTAGAAAATTTTATGATAAATTTGTTCCATATTTTACAAAAAAAAGTTTATTTTCAAATTGATTGAGAATGTATATGTTTATAGCTGTTTTATACATATTTTATTGCTCTCTGCTAAAACATAAAAATTGTGTATAACTTTTTATTGAATTTAACTTTTTATATTGATATTTATGAATCAACATAATCATTTCACGATCAGCTATTACTGTTAATTTTTTATTTAGTGCAGCATTTCATGAAACAAATTAACACACATTAAAAAAGTAAATGTGTATTAATGTAATAGAATGTAAATGTTTGAAATCATTGTTAAATACTTTTGTATGTTTTCTGCACAGATCTTGGTTTCTATGCATTGCCTGCCAAAGAAGAACTGAGCCCAATGTTTCCATACAATTCTAGTTCACATGAGATTTCTACAGAAACAAATGCCTTCGTACAAAATTCCATGGTAAGCATTTATATGTAAATTTTAAACATTTAAGATAGCTATTTTTTTTATGTGGAGTATGTCACACGCTTATGTCATAGTGAATTTTAAGAAGTTGCATGAATTCAAAATGAATTATTCATATTACTGAAATTTCAGACTCTTGGTGTCAACAGACATTCTTACTTTCGTATTTAAATATTATTAACTTTTACTAGAAGGGCAAAATGAACTGAAGAAAATTCTATTGTTGTTTTTAACGAAGTGATTTAATAATTCTGTTAATATAGATAATCTGTATAGAAGAGAAATGCTCTTTTTTTTTTTTGTAAAAGTCTGGGATAAATTATGTAATTTAACATGTGTATGATTATTTGGATTTTTATATTTCAATGTTAAGTTTTTTTATTTTTGAAACATTTGTAAATATTGCATGAAAATAACTTCTTTGTTATTGAAAAATGCATACATTGTGCCTAGCTAAACTTATTACAAAGGTTAAATTTATCTTATCTTTATATGCAATATTTGTTCAGTTTTACATTATTGCATTATTATTTACATAATATTTATTTATATTTTTTTATACATTGTGTACTATAATAATTTTTTAAAGTATATTTAAAATTAAATTGTCCTTTTTTTAACGTTGCAGGGGGATGTAGTAGTATTAGGGAAAAGCAGTCTGGATGGGGTATGGGAAGAAGAAGGATCAGAGCACACTAGGTACTGTGATATCGAATCGATAGCAAACAGCAGCACGATGGCAGCACCTATTAGCCATCCCGAAGCTACCGCCGCCAATGGCTTTTCAACCGTCCTGCCGAACCAAGCTGGTGAGTAAATCAAATGTTTATAGACGCACATTTGTACTTTCTATTTATTTTCACACACTCACACACATACACTTACATTAATTTTATTTTTACTTGCTTAATATATTATATATCTATGAAAATCGCTTGTTATAAAAATTGTAGGATAAATGTTATCGCGCATTTTAGAAAAATAATATTTACGATTTTGGAAGCTGAATAAAATGATAAGCTCAGCTTTAACAGTTCTGAGAAAGTTGGTTGATGTTAAAAGTATATACATACATGATTAAATTAACGAAACATAACAACAATGAAACTTTTTGTAAGCATCATGTTTTTCAAATAGTAGCAATTTGCATATACATTCTTTCTTAAATGTAGAAATTTCTTTGAAATTTCGAAAAGTAATTGCAAAGGATCTTTATACAGCGTCACCTGTTTTAATTATAGGTGAGTTGAACCTAACCGGCATAGGTAAGGCCTGCCAGTCAGTGGCGCCAGCAACCACAAAATACCCAACAAATCACCTTCTAATCTGCGATAATAATAATAAAATAAATAACCACAACAATGCAGAACATAATCATCACAAGTACAGAAAGCTCTACGCATCGGGCTTGCTTGGTCCGCAGCTGGGCAGCTCCGCCAATAACTCTAAGTCTACTTGTAAGACATTAAGTGATAATAAGACTAGCTTTAGCTATAAATACTTTAGGTTATATCCTATATATGCAAATTCACAAGTAAGGGACAAAGCGTATTGCATCGTTGGGGTACCTAGCCTAGTTAGGATACCCAAGTCTGATAGTCCCCAACGGTCGTTGCGCCTCCCTAACTCTGACAATTACTCCTTACTAGGGTCCTGCCTTGACCTAGGCGACAACAATAAATCTAAGGCTAATTTTAGTTATGTAAGTAATAACAACTCCAAGTCTGTGATATTGCTCAGCTCAACCAGTTACAGTAACCATTACCTCCTCTTTAGTGGTGGCTTTGAAAAGATAGCTCCCGACATCCCGGTACTTTGTATTAAGAGGGACGATTCCACTACCACATCGAATAGAATGAAACTACTAGGTGATAAGTACGCCCTAGTTACCAGTTTTGCTCAGATCTCCAGACTGCTTGCAAACGATAGAATTCTGGATGATTCTAACTCTGACATCCGAGTTTCGCTGAGCCGCCGAATAGTACGACACCTCTTGGAAACGCATTTCAATGGCAACACACTAGTATCGGTGTCTGTCTACGCTCAGAATTTCGCGATATACGCCGCCAGTTCTTCCATTACGCTTATCGTTTCCAGAAACGAAGTAATTGACCACACTTTGCGATCTTTCCTGAAAAATCTCACACAACTGTATGTACAATCTTCTATTTCTCCATTATGTAATGTCACTGTGACCGAGCTGACGCAACACTTATGTGTTCCACTATTAATAATGTGTAAAAGTAATGATTACAACGTTGGTAATAATTATAATGAATATTATAATAACGAGTACAGTAACGTTGGTAGTATTGAAGAAGAAATTAATATTAGTAATAATAATCCAGATGTTATCGGAGACATTGTTGACATCGCTGTGTGCTACAAGACTAGTGTAATGACTACTAATGTTAGGATCTTAGGGTCTCAAAATGATGGTATTAGTTGTACCGAAGCAACAATATTTACTGTTGGTGCTCTTTTATTTCAGGATAACAATAAGCCTCTAAACACTTGTTTTAAGATTAATAGGTATAGGGGATTGGTCGCTACCGATCACGAATCTAACTCTATCATTAAGTCTGTATCTAGGTCTACGCTAAGCGATAAGTGTAGTAATGTTAAGTTTGAAACATCTCATGCCGCTCGACTTGACGAATCTGACAACAGAAAGCAAGTTAAGTTGACTGTCAACATTCCTATAATGACTACCTGCAAGCCTACGATGACGCTTACATGCCAATCAGCCACCGTCGCATCCCAAACAATTGTTGTACCTGTATCTCGGGCGGAGAGTCGCACGAACGGCAATGAAATGCGATTGGAATATTTCAATATACTCCGAAATGACCAAATATGTATCCAGTATATATTGCTAAGTCATACAGCTGATCTTAATAAGAATGACCTGCGTCATTATGATGCAACTAAATTTAAAGGCGTGCAAATTTATGCCATTGACAAGCTCAAGGCTTCTACAACATCGAAAGATGACGCTCACTTCAAATATGACCGAGATACTCTTAGACGCGACCCGAGTCGTCTGAACGATTACGATAATGCCATCGTATGCAACGGCAACGAAGATTCCATTGTACCGTCTACGTCGCAATGGTCATCCCTTATAATACGTGTGCGTGCGTTAGTTCTCGCTTGTCGAAGAGCGTACGAGATTCATGGGAGCAAATGTGAAGTTCAACGACGTCAACTCAAATCCGTCTTGAACGTCCTGTTTAATCAGTCGTCGCGCTTGCACCACAAGGACGCCGAGCCTATCGCAAGTTACAAGCAACGTTGGGGTATACCAATGATATTGCGACTGGTGGGAGGTGGCGAGAGTTCCTTAAATAGCGGAGGAGCTGCCAATTGGGGGACGACGCAAGCTGCCACGCAGAATAACAACAATACGAATCAGAGTGGTTGGGGTGGCACACCCGGAAATCCACCTGGTGGTGCTAATGCGCCCAATAATTGGGGCGCGAATACTGTCAATCGATCCGTCACTGGAAATCCAAATCAAAATCAAAATCAAGGACCGCCTGGTAGCCAAAATAATCCAGGTAATGTCATGCCTATCTAAGAAACTTGGAATTAATCTATATGCAAATTTTTTGTAATCAAATTGTAAGAATCGTGTCTATATTTAATACGAAAGACATGCATGTTGTTTGATTCTTTTAAATTTTAATCCCTTCGAACAATTTCTATTTAGAGTTCATCTCAAATTTATCAAAATCTTTTGAAATACTAGTAATTTTTCATATTTTGTATGTACATGGGACATAAATCGTAAAAGTAATATTTGGAAAATACTGTTAAACTTTTTCCCTTATAAAACCAAATGCATTTATCTTTTTATCGTTTAGGCAATGTGAGTAAGGTTAATAATCCCAATCAACAATCGAATCAACAATCTGGACCGCCAACGTCACAATCAAATAATCCCACCCAAGGGAATCAGAATAATAACCAATGGGCTCAGGGAAAGTCTAATAATCCAGGTGGTCTTGGACAAAATCCGTCAGTGCAGAATAACAACAGTAGCGGCGTCCAACAACAGCAATCTTCTGGTTCAAGTGCGAACAATAATCAATCGAATAATCCCACCCAAGGAGCTGTGAGCATCGGCAATACCGCGGCGGCTAATAATCCGTCTACGAAACAGCAACTCGAACAACTCAATACGATGAGGGAAGCTCTCTTCAGTCATGATGGCTGGGGCTGTGTAAGTACTATTGAATATCTTGGACAGATATGTAGTCCGCGTTAATCTTGAGAGATTGTCTTTGCCATTCGATATAAATATTTCATATAAAGTCTCGATAAATTTTTTAACGGAGGAATAAAAGTGTGCAACGAAACTTTACAATCGCTACAGGATCGACAAATTATTTATCTAATGTTCACGCAATTGCAGCAAAACGTGAATCAAGATACAAACTGGGACGTGCCGACGTCCCCCGAGCCAAGCATGACCAAAGACGGCGTACCGATCTGGAAGCCACCGGTGAATAACGGTACTGATCTGTGGGAGGCGAATCTTCGTAACGGAGGGCAGCCGCCGCCTCAGCAGCAGACAAAGACACCATGGGGACACACCCCAGCGACCAATATCGGCGGCACCTGGGGCGAAGATGACGAAACTGCGGATTCGTCAAACATGTGGACCGGTGCACCAACGCCGTCGCAACCGAGCGCCGCTCAGTGGACTGGTGCAGCCGGTAATCAAGCCGGTATGTGGGGAGGAGGTGGGCTGGTGAAGGTTGGAGTTGCCAGATCTATATAGGCAAAATTTTCCTCTAAATTTCTTGGTTTCGATCGAGAGGCATTCTTCATTTTTCCAGCGTTTATTAGCTGTTTGTCGTGCCTGTTAGTACACTGCTTTATGTTCGGAAACATAAGTCTAATTAGCAGACTATGAATAATATTTAGGGAAGAAATGTTTTGAATCGTATATCTTTATTATTGTTACATTTTTTTTTATTATGAGAGAAGAGATAATACTTAAATTTGTTAATATATATTTGATACATTTTTTAAATGTTGTAAAAGCATTGGAAAACTGCAAAGCGAGCTTTGAAAACATTCTACAAAGATGAGAGTAATATATTTAATACTAAAAAGAATTCTTTAAAAATAATACTTTCACGTAATGCATGATGCAAATATTTAAAATATAATACATAATATCATCTTACAGAACAGACTTGTAATAATATAAGTGTATAGAGTAAAATGTTATTTGATTGTTTTGAGCCATTCTGAACAAAGTTCCATATTCTTTTTTCTATAGAATTTTTAGAAAAAATAATTGGGACACAAAGTGTACTTAAGAACTTACACTCGTATTTGCGCAGTTGAACGTAAGATAATGAATTGGTTATATTATTATGCTTTTGATACATTCAGTTGCGGCTTATGTTTAATGTATATTTGCCTGTTAGAATACAGACACTCCGGCGTTCACACAGCTTTAAGATAAAAACTGGGGATACAATTCATGCGATTTTTACCTGATTTTGCATATCTGCAAACACTATTAGTTCCAAGTGATCTCTAATTGAAGAAATGTGTTATTTTTTTGAAAGTGCGCTTTTTATATGGAAATGAAATGTTGGGATGCTTTTCCTTAAATCAAATACGCACTTAATTACATAGAATTAATGATGGCATAATATAAATTCTGTCCTGTTTTGTTTCATTAAATTCTATGAATTATATATTATGTTGATTAAGATTATAAATATAGCTATTTTATTACGCATCTGGACAAAATACTATAACTTATAACATTTAAAATAAATAATATGAAAGGTTCAGGTGTTTAACAAAATCAAATACAAATCAAAAGGAACGTAAAGAGCCACAAGTTCTTCGTGCGAAAGTTAATGTATTCTTATTTAAAATTATTTATATCTCACATTCAGGAAGGCCTGATGTCAGGCAGAAACTTATTGAAAATTATTGTAAATAATTTTAAATGAGAATACAGTGACCTTTGCACGAAGAATTTGCATTGTGGCTCTTTACGCTCCTTTTAATGTTTATTTATAACATTTATTTATCGCATAACAGAATAGCTTTCTTTATATTTGATTTTCGAACGATATTAATATAAACTCAATTAATAATACAATTCTATGGCTGGCTGCAATGCAAAATCAAACTAAATTGATTCATAAGTGATTTACATATGTTCTCGATTATATAAAATTGAATGCTCTTTACGATAATAAGTCATTATTGCAGATTGAAAAAAGTACTGTCATATTTGACAGTTAAAATTGAGATCGCTTATAAATCAATTTGATTATCGCACGACAAAGATAACCGTGATTACAAGAGATTTTGGTTGCGACAGGGTCCAATTGGGGTGATCCCAGAATAGACCATAGAGATCCGCGGGATTTGAGATCAGTGGATCCGAGGGAGATGCGTGATCCACGGGATCACCGTATGTCCTTAGATCCCCGAGATCATATGCGCGTAATGGATCCTATGGCACGCGACCCACGAATGGCCGATATGCGCGGAGATCCGCGTGGTATATCGGGACGATTGCATGGTGCGAACGCGGACGCGATGTGGAGTCAGCCACCCGGCCCGCCGCATCACCAGATGGGTCATCAGCATCCGTCCGGACCACCGGCGAAGATGATAAATCCATCGAATGTGAATCAGTGGGCCGCGCCACCGCCGAAGGACATTATGCCCGGCAAACCGTCCGGTTGGGAGGAGCCTTCGCCGCCGACGCAGCGTCGCAATGTACCCAATTATGACGATGGTACTAGCCTCTGGGGAAATCCGGGGGCTAATCAGCGTGCTATGCCTGGCAGCAAAGTATCGCACTGGAAAGATCTGCCTGCGCAAAACCTGGCTCGTGGAGGTAAGCGTTAAAATCCATGATTGTTTCGTACATTCGGAGATTAATTATTTATTAGTAGCGGCTTAGCCACTCGCGTTCTGATATTTTTTCTCTTTTCCTTTCTTTCCAATAATTTCTATATGTACATTAAGTTTCTCGATATATGAGAACAATGTACTTAAAATTTCGTACACTTTAGGTATCTCGATCTGAGATCGGTGTACAATCTAACTGTCTCTTGTGGACTAATTTATTAATTTCTTTAAGAAAATTAAAAATTTAGCACTAACATCCTGCGACGGCTCTTAATGCTCTTCTATTATATTTCTTGATTGTTATCATATGGAGCCTTACTATTATATGTGTTTTTAATTATTTATTAATTTACATTTTGTTTCCCCGAATATTTTATTTAATCTTAAAATAAAGAACACTGAGCATTGTTTTTTTTTATTGCAGGCATGCAATGTCCACCAGGCATGCCTCAAAACAGCAGGATGCCAGGACAACCTGGAATGAAGCCAGACGTGGGTAATCCTATGTGGGGTCACCCCGGTGCACCAAGCGGCCGCAACGGAACTTGGACAGACGGGCCGCACGATACTACATCTTGGGACGATCCTAAAACGCCGGCAACATGGAACGAACCTCAGTTGAATCCAGCTTGGGGAGGACCTTCCGCGCATAAGCCAAAGCCCATGGGACCCGCTGGAAGCTGGGCCGATTCTGACATGGATCCGACTCCTAGCTGGGCGCATCCCGCGAAACCTACTTTGACGAAGGAAGTCATTTGGAATAGTCGCGAGTTCCGATATCTCTGCGATTTGGGTTTTAAGGTTTGTCGTCTTTTTGAGCTTTCGTACGAATCGATTTTCAATTTTATTTCTTAAAGAATTTGATAGTAGAACTTTTTTGTGGAATGCTATGTATATGATGTACAACATCGCGGAATGTTCTGTGTTGTGTTTAGAAAGAAGACGTGGAATTGGCATTACGGAATCGGGAGATGAACCGTGAGGAAGCTTTGGAACTTCTCAACCAATTACGTCCTCTTGAACAGTGGAGACGTCACGACACTCATTCGGGTTACGATCCGACGCATCAAGCGACTACTGCACCTACTTATCCTCGTTTCAATCACGTCGCACAACAGATGTCATTTCCTCCGGTAAATTTAATCAATATAATGCACCATCACACTCATGTTTCATACCTAAACACACATTTTAGCAATCTTCGAACATTCTGAAGTATACGAGATTTTGAAATAAAAAGTTAGGAATGATCCTTCATTAACAATTGTTAAATTGTAACAAACGTGAATTTTTGAAAGTGTGACAAAGCGAAGATATTTAGTAATAAATATGCACTATGGTTTTTATTGAAATTTGCTTAACAAGCGATTTGATTGAGCGAGTGTACAATTCACATTTTATCATGAATTAACAACCATCTAATAGCTGTGAGAGTAATGAATTTGGAAACATGGACGTAGGAATATATGGACAGAGCGTTAGCTAGAGGGGCAAGGGGAAAACTAGCCGACCAAGATGGCGGCTACGGGTGACCCGTGTAACTAAGCGAGCGCGGAATTTCTAATATATGAATATTATTCATTACGCAAGCCAAGATTAGGTTAATAACACCGCCATTTTTCTGGCCGACCAACATGCCGTTGCATGATTTCCCCCTGCCGCTCAGGCTTCACCCCCCTTCGCCTATAAGATCACTCATCGCTCTGTCGATATATTCCTACGTTTATGATTGGAAATGATAAATTAAAACCGCTACACAATACAGATGCGGTACGAATAGTCACTAACTGTTTTCTGTGTGTATATGCAATTGTTTTATTACATCGACGTAAATGTATCACTTGCACAATCTATATACATTATAAATATAAAAAAGAAAACGACTCACAAATACAGACGATACTTGATTATAAAAGTTTATAAAGAGACACAAATTATGGATTGATAAAGAGAGAAATATACCTGTAATAGAAATATTGTAAATATTCACAGTAATATAATATATTAACGCGCTGAAGAGAGAAGGTAAGAAGAAGAAGAAGAAGGTAAGGTATAATTTATATGTAACACAGGGTGGAGGAGTGCCCAGTGGGGCGACCAGCGGGGGCGTAGGTGGTTCTGTCTCGAGTGCTAGCCTCCTCAAGCTGCAGCAGCAACAACAGCAACAGACAGTTCCGTTACAGCAACAACAACAAAGCACCAATGCGCCACAACCTCCTTTCAATCAGGTGAACAAATTCACGCGTTAAATGTTATAGATGGAAGAAAATTCCGTGAATACATTTGTAAAAAGACGTCAACGTTGTTTTTGTAAGATTATGTTTAATGTGTTTGTTGACATATATGCAATTTGGTCTGATTTTTGAATGCATGACTTTGGATTTGGGCAATACTAATCTTATAATCGTTAATTTCGTTATTAATGACATATTACTAACTACAAACAAATTTAAAGGTTTAAACTTGATATATTTATACTGTATCTGTCCTACAGGACATCAGCTATGCATAGAATGTACAGAACCTTATCTGTTAGGGCCAATTTAATATTTTATAATTTATAAAAACAAATATTTAAAAAAGATATAAAATGTGTTATCTCTAAAATTTTAATCAGGAATGTCCAGTGGGCAACCAGTAAGGATGTAAATAGTTCCGTCTCGAGTGTTTCTTGAGCCTTCTCAAATCACGGCAACAACAAGACTAGACTATTTTCAATATCTGTTTCTAATTCACAAACATTTATACATTTTAATATAATATTAAAACAAAACATTTAATAGTGTTCAAAATTCAAAATTTTTTTGAAGATAATGTATCGAACAGAATTAATTATATTATTCGCAATAAGATGACTGTATTTTTAATTTTTTTTTTAATTCAAATTTTATATTAATGGAAAATATATTAAATTCATGTGGTGTTAATAATGACAAAATTAATTTTTAGGCCTCTCGTGCGTCACAGAATCAGCCAAGTACGCAGCAACTGCGTATGCTTGTGCAGCAGATTCAACTGGCTGTCCACGAAGGATATCTGAACCATCAGATCTTAAATCAACCACTGGCTCCCCAAACTTTGATGTTATTGAATCAGCTGCTGCAACAGATTAAGGTCTTGCAACAGTTGCACCAACAGCACGCTGTTCAGAACACAATGAAAGGAAGCAATCAATCAGCTCTGCAGATAAGCGTCCAGATCACTAAGACTAAGCAGCAGATCACGAATTTGCAGAATCAAATCGCGGTGCAGCAAGCGACATATATGAAACAACAGCAGCAGCACCCGGCTCCTCCCTCACAAGCATCGGAGTACTACAAATCCTCCACTGTGCATGACCCCATGTCCGCTCTGCAGAATAGCTTCAGTGATCTAACAATGAACAAAGAGCCACCGGTGGTACGTATATCTTTTTATATACAGGGTGTCCCATTTTAAAAACCCCACGTGAATAACTTTGTAGAAATTGGTTTTAGCAAAAAATGTTTCAGACAAAAGTTGTTGGGTTTGGAGGGGGACATCCGATGATGACATTGGTTTAACCTAGGGTGTACATGCCAAGATCATATGAAGGTCAGGCTTGTAAATTACAGTATTTTGACATAAAATACAAAATATCTTGTAAAACATTCAATTTTCGGGAATCTTACTTTAATACTTTTATGCATAAAATAATGAGACGAATCAATTGGTATAAAGAAAACACATAGTTGCTTTCAAAAAAAAATATGTAATTTGCAACATGCAACTGCATACTTTTTTAAAACCAATGTGTTTTCTTTATACCAATTCATTTGTCTCATTATTTTGTGCATAAAAGTATTAAGGTAACATTCTCAAAAACTGAATGTTTTACAAGATATTTTATATTTTATGTCAAAATACTGTAATTTACAAGCCTCATAACTCGAAAAGTACTTAATGAAAAATAACTTCATTATAGTGTTTTGAAAAGCTCTTGACACCAGCTATTAGATTTTGGAATAAAAAATAGGGTGTTCCATTTAAAAAAACAAAATTGACCTCCATGTGACCTTGGCATCTACACCCTAGGTTAAACCAATGTCATCATCGGATGTCCCCCTCCAAACCCAACAACTTTTGTCTGAAATATTTTTTGTTAAAACCAATTTCTACAAAGTTATTCACGTGAGGTTTTTAAAATGGGACACCCTGTATGAACATGATGTCTCGATACGCGAGCGCGAATTTACATCTACACGTCGTGTTCAACAGAGTCAGCAGCAATCGAGATTAAACCAGTGGAAGCTGCCATCGCTTGACAAGGACGGCGATTTGGTGTCGAACGAATTCTCCCGCGCTCCCGGAACTACGAGCAAGCCGCCCGCGACACCTGGTGGTTTGACCCAATCACACAGCAGTCCCAACATGAATCCGTTGCTAGGCCAAGGTGACGGCACTTGGTCTTCTCGACTCGGCGACAGCGGCTGGCCTGATCCCGGAAACAGCGATTCGACTGACGGAAAGGACTGGCAGCCTGGTGGTGCCGCATATACAGATCTCGTGCCGGAGTTTGAACCGGGAAAGCCATGGAAGGTAATCCATTTCCAGTATCGTCAATCGTTACTCGCTTTTAACGTTGCAAAACGTGTCGTCACACTCGGCTGTAAGGAAGTATTGCTTCGTGGTACAAAATTATTTAGTATTTAAAAGATTGCGTGAAAACATTGAAACATACGGTAGCGTATTAGCATCTAAAGCTTATCCGGGTCCACCTATATTTCATTTCATTTTAGGGTACCCAGATAAAAAGCATCGAGGATGATCCTAGCATCACTCCTGGCTCCGTCGTGCGTTCTCCGTTGTCCTTGGCCACTATCAAAGATTCAGATACGATCTTCTCATCGAGCAGCAAGACATCGCCACCGCCGCAAGCAGCCAATCCTGATACGTCTATCCCGAGTTTGAGTAATTCTACTTGGACATTCAATCCACCGGCTACCACACCTAGCGCGTTTACCAGGTAGCGATTCTAAATTTATAGCACGTTACATTCTTTTTTTCCTGTTTATGTGTTATTGTTATTTCTTTTGAACCTGCAGTTTGTACAATTAAGAAATTCAATTTGCAGCACTTCTAAGAATACATGGGGAGAGTCTGCTCCTCCGCCTACTGCTGTGACTTCGGAGCTATGGGGCGCGCCAATGAGTAAAGCGCGCGGTCCACCTCCTGGTTTGAGTAGCAAAGGAGCTACGAACCCGAGCAATGGCTGGGGCGCTGGCTTGGGAAGTGTCAGTAGATCCTCTAGCTCGTGGGGCCTCCAATCGTCGACGGTCAGCAACTCTGGCTGGATGTCCACTTGGCTCCTACTGAAAAATCTTACCCCGCAAATCGACGGGTCTACTCTCAAGACACTGTGTATGCAGCATGGACCAGTTCAAGACTTCCGTCTTTACCAGAATCATGGAATCGCTTTGACGAAATATTCCTCTCGCGACGAAGCAATCAAGGTAAATATATCGGAACTTGAGATTCGTCGCGATTTTTCTTTTGCAAAAAACTTGCCGCACTTGCTCGTTAACGAGTCTCGTTTCGTTTTCCGACGACCGAAATGTCTCTCACACGATTGGCGATTTTCTCTTGCAGGCACAAGGAGCCCTAAACAATTGCGTCCTGGGTAACACAACGATATTTGCCGAGTCGCCCGCAGAGAGCGAGGTGCACACGATTCTGCAGCAACTCGGCCACGGCGGACAGCAGCAAGCCGGCGGTTCCGGTGGGGCCGGTTGGGGCCTTAGACCAACTAATAAAGCTGGCCCGCCGCCCGACACATGGGGAGGCAGCTCTAGTCAGCTCTGGGGCGCCCCGCCTACCAGTAATTCTCTGTGGAGCAACGCGGGGATCGACAACAATGATCAACAACGAGCTACTCCCAGTTCTCTCAACTCGTACTTACCCGGAGACCTTCTGGGAGGTGAGTCGATGTAAAGAGCAAGAGGCCATCCGCCCGAAATCTCGTCAGATAAGTGAAACTCCACTTACTTGTGACGCAAGTCCAAAAACGCAACTCGGCTGACGCATACTTTGTGATCGAATGCGCATTACTCTCCCCTCGATCTCTACCTCTTGCTACCTCTATGATTTTTGTATATCCGAATATTATCACGTGTCGCGATATCCTTGAGTAGAGCGGGTACAAGTATCCGCTTTGTGTATATCATCCTCTGTCGTGGATGACAGAAGAGAGCGTACGAGAGGTCGAGGGAAAGGGGGGGAGAGCTGAGAGAATGACAGAGAGGGTGTGAAAGAGAGAGAGAAAGACAATGAGTCGGACGAGGTCTTCATGAAACGTCAATTATATTGCTAGGAAATGCAATTACTATATAACGAGTTACTTAACAAAAAAAAAAATTACTACCCTCGTATCCGCCTTGAGTAGAACACGCGTAAGCAAAAAATCGCAGCGGCGTGCAGCCAAATCGTGCGATAGATATCTAATTTTACATGACAAACTACATTCATACACACACACGTACACGTACACTTATAAAAAACACTTAAAACGAAAAAAAAAAGAAGAAGAAGAAGAAGAAAGGTACTTGCGAGTACGAATTTTGCGGTCGCGTCATTACACCGAGGAGACTTGGGAGGGATTGCGAAAGAGTCGGACCAATTGCAACGTGGTCTCTCGTCCACACATCGGGTGCGTTTTACTGCGTGCGATCCGCCACCATGTGCGACGACGAAAGCGGCGAAAACTTCTCGCCGTACCAAGCCAATCTAGTAAGCATGTCTGAAGAAATCTATCAATGAAGAAAACATAGGGGAATGGAGATGAAGAAAAGAGAAAGAGAACTATTCGCGCTCTCTACCGCTTTAAATATGAAGGGAGGGCGTTTTTTCAATGAAGATTTATCGGCCGAGGGTCTCTGATCAGGTCAAAGAGTGTTCCATTTTTGCTGGACAGTTTCCGAAGACTGCAGCGAGTATCAAATGTAGACTGTATCAATCTAATCAAAAGAAAGAAACCTTAAAAAAAACAAAGCATTGACGTCGCTGCCTGGCGTTCTGCCCTGACCTCCGCCCCCGCCCCCACCGCACTTTCCGGACCTCCACGAACGTGGAAGAAACGAGGACTGCAGGGATATCAGATCGACTGGGCAACGACGCAACGATACCAAATGTTATCGCAATAACGTAAATTTTATTCTATATTAAATCTAGATGCCACCTGTCGTGCCAATGTCCAGTGTGTCTCTTTACCATTTATTAACGTAGAGTTTAAATGAAGAAAAAAAAAAAGGGAAGTCAAGATATGAAGATTCGAGGACGAAGCGTTAGAAAAAAAAAATAAAAAATATAAAGACCGAGGGCATGTGAAGACGTGAAAAACGAGTAATATCAGTAATTAGCGATGTCACGAGGACGATCAAGTACTGCGTACTAAAGTACTAGCATATTACGCTTCTCGTTGGTGATGTTCGAACTCGAAGGGAATCACAATGGTCCTGCGTAAGATCGCAATGCGAGTGATGGCGATGTTACGAATGAACGGCATTTATTACGGGCGCATACTGTCGAGCGCAGCTCGGTCTAGGGTGAATTTAAATTAGTTTTTCTCTTCAACGTCAAAGGTACCTGAAAGGACTGATAACCAAACGACGAACAAGCGAATCGTTATTTACTCATGCACAACAGTTTCCTTTTCACTTTCCGCCGCGCCCGCCGTTCGGCGGGGCGCGTTCGGGAGGGAGCGTTTCGCGATCAAATCATTGGCGCAATCGCGAACGACTGTGAAAGAGACAGCTTTTTTTCCTTCGCGAACTAAGAGAGCTAAGAAAGAGAGCGAGAAAAGTATACATATATGAAAAAATAAAAAAAAAAAAGACAAAAAAAATAGAGGGAAGGAAGAAAAGGAACACAATCACAAGACGCGCGCAATAAAAAAAAGTGAACAACTATACATAATACACACACGCTGATTCACACACGTTTGCCATGCATGATTAAACTTTGTATGCTCGCAAATGTCAAACACGCCAAGCTAAAGAAACGTACATAGTAGCATTGGTCGACAATGATTCCGCCGCTTCCATGCGATCGGTCGATCCTCGCGGATGCCGGACCACGAGATACACTTTTCGGCGTACCAGTAAATCAAAAGAAACATCGGGAATTTTTATATCTTTTGCCTTCCATGAAAGAGAGAAAGAGAGAGAGAGAGAGAGAGGAGGGGGAGAGAGAGATAGATTGTTTCGTAGGAGAGACATCATCAAAAAATATAAAAGTCACGTTTCTCGCGCGCTATATGACGAAAAATACCGGTGGATCGGTCCGTGATGTGGACGCGCGATAGAATCCGCGCGGTTCCGCCGGTCACGTCGCCTCGACTCTGTCGGCCAGTGTTGTTACGTAAATGCTTAATTTTAATATTTTCGTAAGATCGCATAATTTAAGATATTCATAATTACTGTCTAGCGTAAATAGAGTTCAAGAGGAAGCGAAAAAGAATACGACGGTACGATTATGACGACTATACGAGCTCCCCAGTTACAACACAAAAGAAAAAAAAAGAAAATGATAAAAAAAAAAAGAAAAAGAATAGAGGACGTAGTGGAAGCGTCGCGAGTGTCTGTACATAATTGTATCGTATCCTCCTGAGAGAAGGCTGCCATGCAAGTCGAGGCGAATATTTTTAACGTTTTGCAGCGATACAAAACCAAAACGCAAAAAAAAAAAAAAAAAAAATGAG